GGAGGGGGGGGGGTTCTGGCAGCCTATAGATCTGTTTTTATATTTCAGTTGTAAATTTTCCCCAAAGCTGTAGGAGCCGATCTTTTGATGTTTGCTATCAGTTTTACAAGGCATGCATATATTTAAATGTGTTTTTAAGAAACTCTGTTGCAAAAGGCATTCCCAGTATAGCACAGTCTCACCATAACTCCCTCTTCTCCAACCCTTTTGTGACTCCAGTGAGGCAAATTCTTGCATTGAAATATGTCTCCTCTAGCTCTTATCTGCAAGCTCCATAGAGTCCTTGTGAAAAGCTAGAGCAGGTTAGAGGTGGGGGAGAACATAAATAAAGGCTGTGAAGGGAAACTTTGTGTCAGTGTCTTCATCTATTCCTTTTTTTTTTTTTTTTTTTTTTTTTTTTTTTTCTCTTTTAAATTATAGGAAGCTTATGTGCAGAAAATGGTAAAAGTATGCAATGATTCAGACCGGTGGAGTCTCATCTCCCTGTCCAACAACAGTGGCAAAAATGTGGAGCTGAAATTTGTGGACTCCCTGAGGAGGCAGTTTGAGTTCAGTGTAGACTCCTTTCAAATCAAGCTAGACTCCCTTCTGCTTTTCTATGAATGCTCAGAGAATCCAATGACTGAAACTTTTCACCCAACTATCATTGGTGAGAGTGTCTATGGGGATTTCCAAGAAGCCTTTGATCACCTCTGCAACAAGATAATTGCCACCAGAAACCCAGAAGAAATCCGAGGAGGTGGCCTTCTTAAGTACTGCAACCTGTTGGTAAGGGGCTTCAGGGCTGCCTCAGAATCTGAGATCAAGTCCCTTCAGAGATATATGTGTTCAAGGTTTTTCATTGACTTCTCGGACATTGGAGAACAGCAAAGAAAGTTGGAGTCTTACTTGCAGAACCACTTTGTGGGATTAGAAGACCGCAAGTATGACTATCTCATGACCCTTCATGGTGTGGTGAATGAGAGCACGGTGTGCCTGATGGGACATGAGAGAAGACAGACTCTAAATCTTATCACTATGCTGGCCATTCGGGTCTTAGCTGAACAAAATATCATCCCCAATGTGGCCAATGTCACCTGCTATTACCAGCCAGCCCCATATGTAGCAGATGCCAATTTTAGCAATTACTATATTGCCCAGGTTCAGCCAGTGTTCACATGCCAGCAGCACACATATTCTACTTGGTTGCCGTGTAATTAAGGACCATTTGAATATACCTGGTGGGGAGAACATTTTTTAACTAATAGAGCGGGGTGACACACTCCTTACAATGGGGTGATTTGTGCAATGATGATCTGCTCTAGGTTTCAAGCTTAGTAAAGCTTGTGGTTCTTCTAATAAAAATAACGGGAGCATGATCTAGAAAAGAACCAGAAATAATTGGATTCTACCCCAGAGCACAAGAGGCCTGTCAATAAAAGCAAATGGCTTCCCCTGAAATAAACATGGGAGGAATGCATGATGACAATATGGGTTGGCGATACCTTCTCCCATAGCTTTGGCATAGAGAAGGTTGGGAAGCCTTTTTAAATTTTATTTTACTGTTTCAAAGAATGGGATCTGCAAAAAGGGAGACTATGGGAAGAAAACAAAACAACAAAACCCCAACATTTATATATATTTTCAGGAATTAAAAGTAGAGGCATAATGCAGAGATAAGCTGAAATAAAATGTATATTGGAATTACTGCATTTGGGGCTTGCAGCAAGTGCTGTCTCTGGAATGATCGTGTAGGATGTATAGCTTGCTTGAATAGAATACTTTAACAGAAACAGCTTGCTCCAAATGAACAGTAGGAGATTGGTACAGTTATAAAAACAGGGAGGGAGGAGGGAAAGTATGATGACAAAGTCCATTTATTTCCAGCTGTGTGCATGCTTCCCTTTTTTTTTTTTTTTAAATGTGAACTTGTAAGAAAAGCAGCTGTAGCAAACAAAATATGCTCAAGGACCAAAGATTTCACAAATAATTATCCAAGCAAAGAAAATACAGTAGAATATATATAATATATATTAAAAAGATGTTACTATATTTGTACACACCAATAGCAATCAAAAGTGCCTGATGCCTTCAGAAAATTTAAAGTGAGAAAAATTATAGTTTTGTGGTTTAACCATACATTTTGTTTTATCAGGGACACAAGAATTTTAAAAAAAACAAAACAAAAAAAAACAAAAAAAACACCAACAAAACAAACAAAAACATAAGCTTGTGAATAAGTGGTGGAGGAAATGCCCTATTTTTTTCTTGGCAAATACTTGTATAAAGTTAATGTTCTTGTGTGTGTGTGTGTGTGTGTGTGTGTGTGTGTGTATATAATACACACACACACACACGAGCTATATTAAATATGGTCTAGGAAAATGTAGCAATTAAGGAATGTTTAAATAAAGTACAATGTGTTTTCCAGGTTGCAACAGGATGTCATAGGACAGTGGGCACCTTGCAGTGAATTTATAACCCACACCTGAAAATTTGAAGTAAATGAACCAGTCAGGATTAGGTGGGATTCAAATAATGTCTTTGGTTGCAAGAACAAAGATTACAGTAATTCGGTGGGTTGCTTGTGAGCCATAACAATTTCACAAATGGGTAAATGTTTGACTAGCTGATCCTGTTTTAACTTTTTTGTGTACTGTAATGCCATTTTGACATTTAACCCACTAATGTTGTGACTGCATACCTCCATGGTGTATAATTCAGTGGAACGTGGATCAAAGATAGGCTATTTAAATCCCCTGACAGCTAAAGAATATTGTATTAGTTGGTGATTTGAACACTATTTGTTAATATTTAAAGGAATATTTTAATAGAATGCATTGTGCATTCCAGGACCACTAGAATTTTAATAAATGTGAAATGAACCCTTTTTAAGTGTTGCACGATTGCTTAACATTATATTTTATATAAATATATTATATATTTTTATTCAAATATTAAACATCTTTGATCTGGTTGTGACACTGCATTTACAATTTTAGTACTGTACTTTATTTAAATGGAATCACTTTACGTTGGAACAATATCTCTTCACTCTTAACTTCCTCTCCCAAGAGACCAGTAGGGGGGGAAATCAACCTTTACTGTTGTTTTTCACTTTGGTGACATCTCTGGGCAGTTTTTTTTTTAATTCTTTTTCTTCCAGCCATTGGTCTTTGAAGACCTAATGACTAAACAAAATCTAATTTTACACTTTGTAATATTTTGGTGTTATGGTAGAAAAGGGAATCTTGGACTATAAAAAGGAAACTCAGTATTACCTGTACCATTGTAGACCTTAAATTATGTTGTGGGGGAATTGGGAAGAGTGAGTGGAAAGAGGAGAGCGAAGGAACTGGTATTCTGGCAATGCATTCTCCCATTTTCCATTCAGAGCTGCTCAGACTCCTGTTTGTACCACACTTGGTACCTTTATCTCTGAAGGCAATTTAATAGGAACCTGATTTGTTTACTGAAGCACCTTCCCTGTGAATTCGTCAGGAAATGTAAAAGCTCTTTCACTGCCACTCATTTGGTTTACTTGTAGTCCTTGTCAACACCTCCTTTCCCTTGCTCCCTTCCTTCCCCCTCCCTTGCATACTGGCTTCCTCCTTCCTGTGGTCAGTACAAGGCCTTTCTTGATTTAATTATTTAAAAATAAAAGGTTTCTTTCTCATGGCCCCTTCCTTCAAGCTGTAGATCAAGATTGAAATGTACTTGTCAAAAGCAGAGCATTGCCTGTAGCTGTTCAGAGGCCTTTCTAACGGAAGCAAAGGGAGGGCTGGGGAAATAGGATCAGCTGGTAATGTGGTATGTCCTCACTTACCACAACTATGTGCAGCAAATAAATGAGTCATCCGCCTTTAAAAGGGTTTGGGAATCTGTAGCTGTGCCACAACCACAAAATGCTGATAATATATATATGACACGATGTATTTTCTTCCTTTTGAGGAGCTTTTTTCCATTTGCTTTTTAAAAGTTTGATTTATTTCTTTTCTCCGCTTCAATTTTTCTATGTTTTATGACTGACAGCAGCCAGTTATCTTATAGTGCATACAGCAGGACTCTGAGCTAAAGTGCATCTTTCAGCATTCGCATTTTGATACATATATAATATGTTTTTATATATATTATATAGGTATTATGGACCTATTTTGCATATGTAAATGAACAAGTGCTGGAACGGGCAGGGGTTTGTTTTATAGTAAGTAGTTAAAAAGGTGTCTGTTAATGGTGGGAAGGAGCCATGAGTTCAGGCCAAGAGGGAAATAAGAACATCTTTTCAAGGCTGGTTTGCTTCTGTGGTTTGCACACCTTCCCCTTTTTATAAAGCTGGTTTGTTTTTGTTTTTTGTTTTTCTTCTTCTTTGCTTTCTTTACCTTCTCTTCAGCACGCTAATGCTTTTACAGCAAGAAAGCACTTTGTACTTTGTAGGTTTTACTTTCCCATCTGGTCTGAGGGACTGAAGATTAGAACTTGTTAAGGAGACAGTCTTCCCTTTTAAAATGCTGACTGATTTAAAATGTTGACCCAACTACAGTAAAGCTGTTCATTTGATGGCTGAATTTATTGCTGTGTTTAACATAAAAAGAACGACACAACTGAGAGCTCAACATTAGATTATTTTCTTATGTATATATCCTCCCAAATACAAGAAGTTTCTCTTGAAAATGTACATCACCATGAAGTTCAGAATTTTCTAATTCCTCTTATTTTTATTTTATCCCCTTTTTTTTTCTTTTTCTTTTTTTTAAGAGAAAAAAAATATCCTCTTTTCCTTTCTGTTGCACAAGAACTTTCATGTAATTCTTACAAAGCTTTGTAGGAGAGGTGTTTATGTGAATTGTACAATGTTGAAGGCTCATACCAGTTCAAAAGATGCGCTTTTTTTATTGTTGTTGAGAAAATGAAGTGTTGTTAGATGAAGCTGCACAGAAAAGAAAAGGAAAAAATGTAATTACATATTCAGCTCCTATTATACTCTTCTGTATGGGTTTGTTTTTTGGTTTGTTTTTTGTTTTAAGCGGACAATTTCCACTGCAAGAAAGAAAATCTGCATACTGTTTCGCTGTTGTAATAATGGTTTGTTAACTAAGTAAATAGTCAAAAGGCCTGCAAATTTTCAAGACAGCTTGGCTAAAGCACTGCAAGCTCTTGCAGTCTGTAGGAGGCTGTGCAGATTTGCTCTCCCTTGGAATTTCATACAACTGTTGCCTTCTGCAAGGCATCCTGTTGCAGCAAACTGCTCCTTGGATTGCTGTTTTGGAACACTTTGACTACAGGCTCTGTCACGCACACAAAAGAGCTGATGGAAAACAGACTCTTCAAGCTAATGTGTTTGCATCACTGCTAGAGGGAACAGATTGTGAATTTTGTTTACTGCATCCAATATTTGGATTTTTTTTTTTTTGTAAATAAAAAGAAGTTATTTTTTTCTATTGATTTGTGTCTGCTGTCTTCAGTATCTGAAATAAGCGGGGTTTGTTCCTAATAAATACCGACTAGCTTTCATTAAAAAGGACAAGCACAGCACCTTTCTGTAAAGCGCAGCACTTGGCAGCTTTCTGATTGGAGCACAATAAATTTTTAAGAGTCCTGCCTTCTGCCAGCCAAATTTGACTGGGTTCAGTCAGCTACGAAAGCACCTAGCTAGCCGGTGCCAGAAATACTTGGCTGGACACTTGCTGAGCAGTGTAAATGACCTACAATGCAGAGCCCCAGCAAGCTAGCAATTCTGATAAAGCCTAAAAGGCTGTGTTTTTGTTGCCACCTTTCCTGAACCCCTAGGCCATAATATTAATAATACTTAGCATTTACATAGCATTTGACATTTCCAAAGCATAACACAAACAGCGAGGCCTGGGTTCTTGTGCCCTTACTGATATTGAATAATACCTTGCTTATTGATTTCACTAGGCTTACTTGAGGAATATGGTACTGTTTAGCATGAGTAGGGGTGAGGTACTTTTTTGGAATGGGTAGGGATAAAATTCTGGCCACAGTAATCAACCTCTGTGTATGTTGGAACCCATATGCTCATTTGATTTTGTGGGCCTCTGAACCGATCTGATTCTTTTCCCCACATTCAACATTTAGTCTACTTTCCTCGTCTACAATGCAATCACTGTCAGTTAAGGTGCTTTCTGTTTGCTGTGTTTATGGTGGAGATGCCTCTGGTAATGAAAGCTAATTTCCTCAAAAAGGCACTTCAAGTCAATATAAAGTTTTAATTTACAATGCTCATGGCAGTACGGTTTTTGCTGATCTTCCATTACGTCCACCTCCGCTGGCTTTTTTATTTTTTTAAACCAGGGTTTTCAGTGACTCTCCTATTAAAAAAAAAATGTTGACTGAAAACTCTTCAGTATGTTAGCTGTTACTAGACCTATTCATACGTTGCTCAGTGCTTGGAGGATGCACATACTTAAGTGCTAGCCTGAATGTGCTTACTGTTAGGATGAGAGAACCTATATTCTTCTATAAGAAAACAAGCTTCTTGGAACTGCTAGCTTTTCTTTTCACATGAACAGGCTCTGTTGAATGGGATGCTCATTCAGCAGAATGCATCTCTACATTTTTTGTGCATGTAAAATGATTATCAGGCTGAACTGATTGTTGCAAAAGGGAGCAAGTGAATAAGCTGTATCTGAATACAGTATTGCATTTTTTTCAAAAATCACTGGAATTAGAAAAACAGGAAATCTGATCTGGGGCCCTCATTACTATTAACCGCCTAGTCATTTTCTGACAGCCAGACATTTATGAAGTTGAGCACATAACACCCTCAAGCACTTTTTGAAGATCCAAACCTAAATGGATACTCTTGTACTTCGGAATGGTGCAGGGTCTCTTTCTGCCATCCAACAATACTTCAGAGATGGGAAAATCCATACAGTATAAAACTCTGGCTGACTGAAGGATTCAGGTCTTCTCTCCAAAACAGAAGTGATTGGGTGAACACGGGCTAAGGACAGACCAATATAGTTGAGTGCTATGTTTTGGCAGGTTGTGTTTGGGGCATTCAAAGACTGTGGAACAGAGGAAAGAAAAAAAGTGGGTGTGGGTGTGAGACTTATCTGGCCTACAGAACTAAGTACTCTGAGCAGTTGGATGGATTCAACAAAGAAAGGAGAGGACTCAGCCCTCCTGCTGCGTTTACCTCACTAGCTGGAGAGGAAAGAACATGCAGAGGTGATAGGCCACCACTTTCAATGGTAAGTAATGTTTTGTAAGTTGCCCTGGCTCCAGACAGCTTTATTTTACAGAAGCTCTGTGCAAGCATAAGGCTGAGCCTGAGCTACCCCCAGTTCTGACTCTGTTAAGGATCCTTGGTGCCACAGAAATATGAGGGCTCCATGAGTTTGGGAATAAGCAATTTCAAACACAGAAA